AACACAGGTACACAGCGGGAGCGACACCAGTAGCTAGCTACAGTAGATAGGACAACAGGAGTGTCCTTCGCCCCAGCCTGCCGAACACTGCTTTCCCGCAGTTCTGTTAACGTTACGGCAAGGGCAGGTGCTCGGCAGGCGGGGGCGAATGACACTGTGAGCTAGCTAGTATTTCGGTAACGTTACACAGGCGTTCTGTTAACGTTATGGGTAGGGCGTCTGTGTCTGTTTATCACAGCTTTTAATCACAGCTGATAAAGAGAGGGGTGGAGTGGCTGGTATATCTGTTACATCTGCTATCCAACGCATCAGCAGATTGCACATTAAAGGTAGACTCAGCAAATAAACAGCATAGTGGGTCAATTTCCGCAACAACTAAGAGCGTTGAAACGCGAGGCTCAATTTCTACGCTGTGAAGCGAACCCGTGCACATGTGCAGATACTGTGTGACTGTGTGAGCGAAGTCTTGCATCTCACTCATCTCAATATCTGCAGTGTTGCTCATGGCAGTCATTTTCTCTGTCTACCTTTAATTATACTACAATGATGGCATAGCCTAAACAAAAAACTCAGATAATATTTTTATTTCCCTTTTGACCCACATTTTAATCACATAGACAATCAGGGGAAATCCAGAATGCAGGAATACCGAAATGCTGGAACACCCCAAATTGCGGGCCGCAATCACACACTATTGACTCTGCAACACACTATCACAGATTATTATGAAATAGACACAAATTACTTATTCAAAAATTGTAAAAGTCACACAAAAAAAGTATAGCCTACTGCCTTCATCTGTGATTGAAAGCACTGAATTAAAACATTTAGGTGAACATTGTTTTTTTTAAACTTTTTCCTGTGTATTTCAAAATAATTTGTGATAGTGGGTTGACATTTCCCAAGGGAAAAGTACATTCATATTCAAGAAAGCAATCTAATCTAATGAGATTGACCATATGACTGGAAACTGATCACTGAATATAATAATTGACTGTTAAATGTTACCTTTCAGGTATTTTAAATGTTTTTGTAATGTCTCTAATGTGTTTTTCGTATGTGTCGGACCCCTAATGTGGATCCTAATAAAATCAAGTAAAATCAACATACTGACATACTGTGCCTCAAGGCATCATAGATTATGGGAATAAAAGCAAGAGCAGGCTGTACATGCACATCCTCAAACATTTTGTTCAAAAATGCAAGGACTTTCTGTTGTGTGCCAGCACTATTTAGGGTGGGTACCGCTTTGTGGCACTATGCCACCTAGTGAATAACTGTCAAGACAACCGTTTTGAATAATGAAATACTTATTAAGGGAAGTTGTGAATATACTGTAGGTGATTATGTTGGAACTTGCAACCCTATTGACAGAGCTGAGTCATATTTACTCACCTAAGGCATCATTTCATCAGACCTTTCAGTTTTTTTGATCTTTGCATTCTGTGTAGGCCAATGGCACCTTGTGTCCCTAGTAGGCCCTGACCTGGGTAGGGCACAACGGATGTGTGTGTGGGGTTAGACAAGAATAGGGATATACAGTCACAATGTTAGAGATTGGGCCAATTGCAACCACTATTGACCGGTGTATTACAGTGAGGTGATCCATTAATATGGGCTAAGAGCACCCACACAGCTGATCTCAATGATTCTAAAATGTTCACTGCTCCAAAGCCCCCTTTATAGCTTACCTGATGCTATCATGCGTCCTTTGTCCTGATCTCGTCCATATTCTGATTGTGCCCACATTTTTAGACAGGTGTAAATTATAAAAATACTCATTGTGATCCTAACCACCTCTGGGGGTAGTCAGGCACACATGGTCTGGATATCTTTACAAGTGTAGACCGATCTGGACAGAGAAACCATTTAAATCATAATTATCCCTCCCTCTAAAATCATGGGCAGGTGGCACCATTGACTTATGGCATCAATGTGTGTCTTAAAATAAATAAAAACATTATTATGAAAGAATAGTATTCAAATATTTGGATACAGGGAGGGACCAGGAAAAACTGTGCAGACAGTGGATGGTTGAGACACATTTTAATACCATGCGTAGATACATTTCTGAAAATGTGGACAGGGATAAACCAGGTATAAACAGGGCTCAAAACCTTTTTACCCCCCTTTCTTCCAAATCATTTTCGCTCTAAAACAAACCCTAGTCTAGATGATGGGAATAACAGCTAAACAGGCTGTACATGAACATCCTCAAACTAGAGTAAGAACATCTAGTTCCAAAATCGATCCTTGATACCTCATTGTATGCAAAACTCCCCCTCACATGTCATGACAATGATCTTGGCATGCCAACTCCTTAATCTCCTCCTTGAGGATAATTTCATAGTTTCAATTTAATTAAACATGAACACAAATGAACACAGATCATGATCTGTGATTTTTACTTCCGTGAGGATCATTGTTGAAGACATCATGTGTAGAGAGAGATGTAGGCCGACTGTATGACACATGGATATAATGGGGAGTTTTGTTATAAAGCTGATATGACAGCCTATCTTCAACCCTGTAGAATTACCATTACTCTTCAAAAAGGCAAAACAGCATAGCCAATTGAATCAAGAGGAACTACAATGCTACCAGTAACTATGAATGTATGCTGATGTGAAGTGATCCTACTAGATGTTATGAGGAACATAAAAGCCTTACATACAGTGTATGAAAGTTATCTGATAAGAAATCAGACAATGATTAACCATTAACTAATAAAGAATACACTTTCTAAAATGGACTGCTACACACATTCCTAAACTACCCCCTAAAGGAAATAAGGAAGGACATTACTTCTTATTACGGTACCAATAGTATGCTCCATATCGTCACGTAATAAAGCTGAACTAAACCAGAAAACACTATGGACAATAAATAGACTACATTTTGTTTAAAATAACAATTTCTATAGAAAAATATCAGGAACTGGAACAGAATGACTGATGATACATTTATTACAAATTTCTTGGACACATCAATGATGTTCAGTGACAAAAAAACAAAATAATAACAAATCCTCTGATAAACAAACCAAAAACATGTGACAATAACATAGGCCTATAAAACAATTAAAACTGTGGGTCAGCTTGTTTTCTTCATACTGCATTGAGCTGACAGTAGCAACCCATTTTCATTGGTAAAGCAGTCAAACCAAAACCAAAAAGATTGTCTAAAACCGTTCAAACATTACTCAGTTATCAGTGAAAACAGTGACAGTCGGCTTAAATAGCACAATCATTTGTATTGATCATTTAGCGCATCATTCTTACAAACACACAACGCTTTGTCATTACATTAAATTGTATCTACGCTTACATGGCACCTAAATCATCTGTTTAAAAACACAGATCAGCAAGAGACACTATGCTGGCTGATTCTTGAATTTGATAGGCTTATGGCTGATAATGCACAGCGGAATGTACTGTTGTCCATTGGCATGGCATCCGATGTGTTCCGAGGGTTATAGCTACAGCAAGTGAGCCATTTCAGCATGCTTTGAGAAGCATAATTTTACATTTTAGTCATTTAGCAGACGCTCTTATCCATAGCGGAATCGAACCCACAACCCTGGCATTGCAAATGCCATGCTCTACCAACTGAGCTACACGGGGCCATAATAACTGGACTTATTTACGCTCTTATCCAGAGTGCATACATTATTTTTTATACTGGCCCCCCGTGGGAATCAAACCCACAACCCTGGCGTTGCAAATGCCATGCTCTACCAACTGAGCTACATCCCTGCCGGCCATTCCCTCCCCTACCCTGGACGACGCTGGGCCAATTGTGCGCCGCCCCATGGGTCTCCCGGTCGCGGCCGGCTACGACAGAGCCTGGATTCGAACCAGGATCTCTAGTGGCACAGCTAGCACTATCGCAGTGCCTTAGACCACTGTGCCACTCGGGAGACTTATGCATTATCATAGTAACCATACACCAATGTATTATTGAACCACTGCATATAAAGTTATAGGATATACATTATCTATCTCATTGTCATTTCGGACCACTACAGTTGAAGTAGAAAGACACATAAGCGGCAATATAATCAATTTAATATTAACAATATGACATACCTTTTTTTTCTTAACATTATCAGATCAGCAGGTGCCACTCTGACAGCAGGTAAGTTAAGTGTGATCCTGTAATGATTATGTACACTATACACCAGTGTTGGGCTCGGTTGAATTTCAATTCAGGCAATGCAGGAAGTAAACTGAAATTCCCATTCCAATTAAAAATGTTCTCAATGCTTTTCAATGAGAATAAAATAGTGAATTGGAATCTACTTCCTGAATTGACTGAATTGAAATGGAATTGGCCCCAATCCTGCTACTAAACACCCCGTCTCTTATAATGACCTGTGGTAAGGCAGCAGAATTTGACTTAGGGCTAGTGCTACAGAACAGCGTAAAAGAGCTCAGCACAGAGACAATAATCAAAGGATAAATAATATAGAGAAAGATTGTGTAAGAGAGAGCAACAGTTCACATTCCCACCCAGAGAGACACTCAAACACTTAGAAATTGTCATAGGGGACAAGTGGCATTTAAGTCCCCAAAGCCCCATGAGACTTTGGTTCGTTTAAATGCACAGTTCAGTCAAAAACTAGATTTTCCTGTGTTTTATATATATTTCCAGGTTGGAATAATACTGTGAAAATGATGATAATGCTCTTTTAGTGTTTGAAAAGACTGCCTGACATTTCTGCCTGTTTTGGTGGGATGGAGTTTTGGCCTGCCTGGTGACATCACCAGATGGTAAATTAGTTAATAGACGATTAAGAAAGAGTTCCAAACCTCTCTGCCAATAACAGCTAGTTCAGTTTTCCCCACCCCAAAAACCCACTCTGAGAAGTTGTTCTTGTAGTATCTGATCATGGAGTTCCAGCCGTCCATCACCAGCCCCCATTGTGTCCTCTTCCCTGTTCTGAGACATGAGCACCGCTTCAGTCATCATTTCATCATCATAACTCTCTCTCACACACACTACAAATAATCATCGTCGTCATCCTCCACCCTTTCCTGAGCACGCTCTTGCTCAGTTTTCATCCTGGTTATCACAAAGGTCACTAGCAAAACATCCTAATCCTCCATGTTCTAAGATAAGGGCAGCAGTCCATTCAATATGCATCACCAAAACCAGTACAATGTTTTGATGTAGTGCATAGACAATTATGCATGGCCAACTTCATGGGTGTGTGGGGTGTGACTGACAGTGGGATGGGTACCGTGCCAGCAGAAAGACATCTAGTTAATTTCATGGGTGTGTGTGGGGTGTGACTGACAGTGGGATGGGTAATGTGCCAGCAGAAAGACAACTAGTTAACTTCATGGGTGTGTGTGGGGTGTGACTGACAGTGGCATGGGTACTGTGCCAGCAGAAAGACAACTAGTTCTCTGTCATTGTATAATGGACAAGTTCTATTCGAATCCATAATATCCTCCTACAGCCAGATGAACTCAGTGACTTCCTGATGGAATGGAGTGTGTTTCTATGAAGAGAGCCAGTCCTGTGCCCTAGCTGGCTAATCACCAGATTAGCAAGAAGCACGTGAGCCCCTCTCTCTCACCTTGTGAAGTCTGTCTTCAAGGCCCCTGTGCCGGCGTACTGCTTGGCACACGCATTGGCATTGTCTGCCCACGCTGCAGAGAGCAGGGGTGAGAGAGGGAAAGGGAGAGATGGGGGGAGGGGGGGGTGGAAGAAAGAGAAAACAGATTTAGTCAGTGGAAAAAGGGGAGGATTTCAATCATGTTAAACCATAGTGTTGGAATAATCTCATAAGGAAGAGAATGATGTGCTCATTCTGGCACAGGGGTAGGAAAGTGTTCAGATTTCAGCTGAGGTTCACCATTTTTGTAGATCTTCTCGAAGTCGGCCTGATCTTCAATCCTCTGGCCCATGTGGAGAACTCCAAGTCGCTGCAGATAAACAAAGAAGTGTGGTGAGATACTGCAGTGGCCTGACCATAGGGGGCAAGGCGGAACCAAGATGGTCGCAATCAGATTCAGGGGAGTGGCTAGGTCTACACCTTTATTGAACAGTAAAACTCCTGATGGTGGGACAGAGAGGTCCACGACATTGCTCATTATGTCAAAGACAGATAGAGTGAGTCTAGATGTGGTGGAAGTGTATAGATCAGGGATGTCAAACTCATTCCATGGAGGGCCTAGTGTTTGCTGGGTTTTGGTTTTTCCTTTCAATTAAGACCTAGACAACCAGATGAGGGGAGTTCATTACTAATTAGTGACCTTAATTCATCAATCAAATACAAGGGAAGAGAAAACCCACTGCCACTTGGCCCTTCATGGAATGAGTTTGACACCAGTGGTCTAGATGGATGTGGTAAGAGTGTCTAGAACTAGTGGGAGTGTCTATATGTAATGGGCGTGTCTAGTCAGTGTGGGCGTGTCTGATTGGTGGTTCCCACCTCCAGCTGTGACTGCAGTGAGCGTCGTGCCAGCAGACTCTGGATGACGTTGGTACGGTCCAGACAGTCCATGCAGTTACTGCGGAACATCCCTTCCTGTTGCACCAGAACGTTCCCATCCACATCAACCAGGAAGTACCTGACCAACCAATCAACTCAACCAATCAAACAATTTGATTCCTAAATATAGCTCTTTTTACAATAACATTTGTCACAAAAACAAAACAAATCAGCAAACCACAGACAGAGATGAACACCCCCCAAAAAACAAAGTACACAAACACAGAATAACATAGACTAAATACTTACCCATACTCATCTTGCATCTCTGTCACCATATCGACTAAGATCTGCAGGCGATGCCACCTCATCCGACTGCATTCCTTGTGGAAGTCAAACGCTATGTACCTAGAGGTGCACAGTACAGGGAGAAAAGTTATGTAAAATCCAACTAAATAATTTTCTTTAAGGGGTTATATGGAGTTCCATGCCTTTAGACAGAACGTTAACCCCTAAAAAAAAGACATGGATGATGTTAGAAGAAGACGTGCATAGTGGGATCAGAATGAACGATGGGGAAAAGCTATAGTCCTTACTTAACCATGCCGTTGCCCAAGCTGGACACCATTTTGTCAAAGGCCTGTTCCAACTGCTTCTCTGAGCCTTTCTGGTCGATCAGATTTAAAATCACTTGCTTTCCATAAATGATGATCTGCGAGTCAAAATGCCTTTGGAAGCCATCCAGCTGTGAAAGCAGGACAGTAAAGGTAAGAAAGAATTTATGACTCAGTATAGTAATACTCAATATCACATACCTCTACTGTAATTAAATTACTACTACTGTGCATTAAAATGTTTTTACATTTGAATATGAAATATCATTTAAAATTATATGAATATTGTAACAGGTAGCTTACATGGTCGATGGTTTTGCTGATCTGAGGTTTTGGTTTGTACTTGAGGTTCGGTCTTTGGGACCAGTAGAAGGGGATGGAGCCTCGGGTCTGTACGAATGAGGCCTTGCCCCCGTTGTACTGGACAATCTGCTCTGTCTCCACAAAGTTAGCTGCATGACCCTCTGAGTCGATGCCTGAGGGACCAAATAGACATTATGTAATCATCCGTCTGAGTGGTCAGAGTGAGGAATGTTTGACAGTAAACATATAAGAAGTGGACAGGCCAATATTATCTGCAAAGGGCTGGTGTGTGTGCAGGGTTTCGTTCCAACCAGCTGTAAAACACCTGATTCCACTAATCAAAATATTGATTGAAGACCCAGCTAGCATATAAGGTTCTGAGAATCATATTTCTTAGAGCTTGATGAGAGTGTGGTTGTCCTATGGTTATTTTGCAAACAACCTTCCCACAACTTTCTGGGAATGGTGCAGGATAGTCGCTTGGCTTTGGAACATTCTCAGCACATTTAAGGAACTTGACAAAAAAAAAAAACCTTCTTTACTTGGTATTTCATTACTTTAACAGAACATTTCCTAAAAGTTCAAACATGGTTACATTGCATTTTAATGTTTGTAATGTCCTAGGAATGTTCTCCAAGTGGTTTGACATTGCGAATAATATTAATTATAGACTAAAATGAACAGCTCTGTATTTGTAAAAAAATATATGGCACACTAGCTCCATCCTGGTGGCGCAGTGGACTAATTACATGGATCGAGAACGGAACAGCATAGGTTCAAATCTCCCTGACACCATGCCACAATAAAAAAAGAAAAGTGTTTGCATAATTAATGCCTAAGCATATTAATTTCCATGTGTCCTATCTGTGCTAAAAACAGTTAACCCAAACTAAGATCGCAGTGTTAAAAGTCTTATTGAAACATTTGCTCAGAACGTTATTTAATTACCTTCAAATAACCTATAATTTCCATTCTCATCACGTTAATAAAACCTCCCAGGAAAACTTTCAGGGAACCATAGTAAAACGTTCGCAGAACCTCCCTGCAAACAAAAAATGTATCTTCCCATAACAGGCAACATTTTTACTTCCGTTCTCAGAACGTAAAAAAAAAAACGCTCAGTTTTACCGATCAGGAAACGTATGGCTTCGTTCCCAGAACCAATGGGAAACCAAAAACGTATGTTCCCACAACTTCAACAGGAACCAAATGTACTAGCCGGGGACTGACTAGTTGACTAAGGCTGTGTTTACACAGGCAGCCCAATTCTGATATTTTTTACACTAACTGATCTTTTGACCAATCACATCAGATCTTTTCGCATCAGATCTTTTTCAGAGCTGATGTGATTGGTCAAAAGGCCAATTAGTGACAAAAATAACAGAATTGGGCTGCTTGTGTAAACTGAGCATATTTGACTCAGATGTATGTATTACTGTTTGGCTGGAACAAAAACCTCTGCACCCACACCGGTCCACTGTGGAAAAGATTGTCCATCATCCCTGCTCTAGTCAGAAAGCTCCAGTTAGACATGCTGGTGGATGTGGAGTCAGTCACCTCTGACGTAGTAGCGTACTCCAGCCCTGAAGCAGCTCCGCCTGGAGATGATGTTCCAGTCAAAGATCTTCCCATTGATGCAGCAGGACTTCATAATGATGACTGGACAACACGTGGTTAGGGATAGCACAGTCTTAACCTTTAAAGCCTAACTTTACCTTCTGAATTCAACCTTTCTCTGCCTCCTTTTCAGAAAATGCTTTGGAGTTGGGAGTGTTGTGATGCTTAGAAATGTGGGCTTCATCATATTATGTCAATGGATCCACTTTACATTGTCTGTAAATACAATATCCCTAATTTCCCAATTTTAATACGACCTATATGAATCTCTAGCTCCCCCTTGTGGCTTAAGGAGCAAACCGCAAGTTCACTTCTACTGATATACATGGTCTGTCAAACAGTTTTCCAAGTTTTTCTCAGGGAAAAGAATGACAAGACTAATCCAGTGTAATCAATAGCTGCTTTACATCCAAGCCACTCAGACAGCTAAACCCCAAGGATCAAGGGGAAATATGAATGTGAAAATGACCATGTGATCTAGTGTGTTGTGCACACGTGCAACTGATCACATCAAGGGTAGATTTCCAACCAATTACAGATTACAGGGTTTAAACTGCAATGCTGTTTAACAGTTCAGTCACTCTAAACAACCGCCACGTGAATTACATATCTCACATGGGCAATATTTGTTGTCTTACAAGAAGTGGTAATGAGGTCTTCCTGTTTATGAGAACTGAAGAGCGGGAAAAGTCTTCATCTGGAGTTTGCAACAACAACAAAAACATGAAAGGATACAGCCATGGACAACTGGGTAAGCAAACCTGTGCAGCTGTCAAGAGAAGATCAGAGACAATGCAGTTTAGAAAGATCATAAGACCTGTACTGGAGCGCATTCATTTTATATTTACCAAAAGTGGTTAACATGTGTCATTTCTGTCCTTACCTCTGGCTGTGCCATGAATTCTCTCAACAGGTGACCATTCCACACAAACCGTTGGTCTGCCTAGAAACGAGGGCAAGAAAACAACACATCTTTATAATACCATTCGACGTGTTTCCGCATGCCCTGCATAGGAAATGTCTGCATCTGTATAGGACACAAGTACAAACACATTACTCGTGTTTTAATGAGTATCTTCAAATGGAAACAAGTTTTTACACTATTTTCCTCCCTCTATATCTCTCTTTCCATCCACTCATTCTCTCACCCTTTCCAGCAGGCTCATCTCCTGGAACTCAGGGCTGGTGTTGGCCAGTCTCTGCAGAGTGTGGGTCAGGTCGTAGTCTGTGGCAAAGTAGAAGCCGTCTGTGAGCAGAACACTGTTGATCATGGACAAGAAGGCTTTGTTGTCCTGCATCTGATGGGGTCAGAGGTCAAAGATAGGTCAGGAGGCAGATTGAAGAAGGAAAGAAAAGAGGTCGAAGGTGAGTGCTCAGGAGGCAGGTTGAAGAAGGAAAGCAAAACAGAAATTAGGTGGACCCATGGTTAGACAGTATCGGATTACCACTATTTGTATAAAATAATATATACAAGGAATCTAAATTGATATATATATATATATATATATAAAATAACATCTCCTCCACCAGTATTGCAACTAGAAGCCAACATAGAGATGCCCACTAATAGAGACACACTTGTCTAGACTTGGGGACAGAACAGAGTGTTCTTGTAACAGCTACATGATGATGACACTGTCTGAAAGCAGTACTTGTTCTGTCTGTGAGAAGAGGTCTCGTTCTCTGACTGACAGACAGCTTTGCCCTTCACATACACTTGACTGTCTACAGACACACTGTCTGTCGTTGACCGGCTCCATAGCCAATTCAACACAGGGCATCTATGTCAGCTCAGATGCCTAGCATTCTCAGTTCATTATGCTTCTTTCGTTTTGGTCACATACAGTAGCGAAGGCAAGTGACTTCAGCAGCTAGCTAATCTTAGAAAAATAACCCAGAGTATCAGGCTAGGGTTTCGACTCGTCAGCATCCACATCAAAACAACCCACTGTCATTAACAAGGAATCATTGTGAAACGCCCTTGGCCTGAAATGCACCCAGGCTCTACATGACTGTGGACTTGTGGGCTGGCACTGGGGCCCCAACTCACACCTCCCTACCTGGTTGTCTGTCAGGTGCAGCACAGTCTTCTTGTAGGAGATAACGTCAAAGTCCATAGCCTTCCACATGGCATGGCCCAACAGGTCACCCACCTTCTTCTTCTTTGTGATAATGATGAGGTACGTGCCTGGGGAGGGTAGGCAGAGGGGCACAGGTGTCACTAAAGTAAACACTGTGTAACACAGGTAAAGTCTTCTCAATGGACAATTTTACTGGAGAGTCTGAACTGACTCTTGTTGACAGAGTGTAAGACTGAACCTACCTGCCACCAAACGGATAGTTCCCATGATGCCACATATTGGCCTGGTGACCGCATGGGGAGGAATGTCCTTCCTCACTAGAGGGACAAATCATCATCATTTTTTACATTTTAGTCATATAGCAGACACTCTTATCCAGAGCGACTTAGTGAGTGCATACATTTTCATACTGGTCCCCCATGGGAATCAAACCCACAACCCTGCCGTTGCAAGCACCATGCTCTACCAACTGAGCCACATCATTTTTTTATTGCCTTTATGATCACAAACCACCATTGACTTTGGTCAGCATAAGACAGCATCATGCCACGATAACACACACAGTCTAACATAGGCCTACTCAACATACCGGTGAGGATCATTTCTGTGGACACCCTGTCAATGGACAGGACATCATTGGAGCCGTCATCACAAGCCTCAATGTAAAACTTCTCTGGGGTAGTATGCCTATGGGGGGAGAGTGGGCACAGAGGATGGAGATACAAAATCAGTGACCTTGGTAGACGAACATCTGGCATTGTGAACCGCGCCTTATACATAGGGAAAACATTGGCTTGATTTGGCAAAGCTCAACTTAGTTAGTGGCTAACGTCACCACCAGCTCACACATACTAGCTACTCGCTAGCTGGCTCAGGCTAACTAACGTTAACAGCTAAGCTAACTGTATTTTCTAGCTATTTAGCTGCTTCATCAACCAGATCGATTGCATTCTACCACTCATTCAATCGAAAGGCAGATAGCTCGATAAGTACTGTTACAGACAACACAACTACACATCCTTGACATAACTGTAAGCTAGTTACAGTACTGTAAACTGAAACAAATCCCGCATACGAATGACTGCAGCCAGTAATTGCAGTTGAATGTTAGCTAGCTAGCTTATCATATGCTAGCTAACGCTAGTCTTACACCTACGACAATATGGCATTTTTTCCAGAAAAGTTGTAGTAGCTAGCTTTTGAAAATAAAAGACTGAAAACGATATATATTTTCAAGACTTACAGGTTGAAGCTCTCGTAGGCGGTCGCCATCTTTAGAGGAGGTCTGACCTAGTGACGTGTCAATGAACGTGCACATCATTGTATATGGCTGGACCGGAGTTCGCGTCCAGGGTCGGACATTTAGATCGTAGTAAATTAGGAAACTATGATAAACTATAGGCAGCAACATATTATGTAGCACACAAAAATACATTATTTGATCAAAGTTACAGTTCATTAATCGTACTATTACTGTACGATTCCTCATATCACAGCATGAAAACTTTATACAACGACAGTCCCCGTGCTGTTTTCAGCGGGCTAGTGGCGCAATGGATAACGCGTCTGACTACGGATCAGAAGATTCTAGGTTCGACTCCTGGCTAGCTCGGCTTGTTTTTCTCTCCGGATCTTCTCGGATTTTTATTTATTTATCCTAAGATTAACACATAGGTTGTTTGTTGTCATGAGAAAGGCATGGTTCTCTGTTTCGATGGGATCATGAGTTGTTTGATTGAGTTCAACTCTTGGCTGACTCGGTTCCTCTGATTCGGACCTTTTCCTCGTCTAGGGGCTACTGAAAAAAAATCTGCCCTGCCGCGAGTTTGTTGAAAAAACATTGCTGTCTGGCCTAACGTTACTGCACATATTACAGTTGATCAAACTTTTGTATTCTATATGTTTTTGTGTGTCCTAATAGCCTTAAAGGGGCAATCAGCAGTTGCTATATCCATAAACTAATGCTCTGTACCCATTGATTCTTGAATAATATAATTTATAAATGCCTCGTGAACTTAGTTTAACTGTCGGACCCCATCAGAACCCAAAATATAAGCTTGTTTTACTCAATGTTTGTAAACAAAGTAAATGTGAACAAACACTGTATAGCCTCAAAACATGGATAAAACTATCATTTTCCATCCATAGCTATGAATATGAGAGGGATTACATTTCTCCAGCCCAATCCCTCATCTTTTTACTGAAACAGTGGTGAGGAGGCGCTTTGTTATCGTTGTAACTGCTGATTGGCCCTTTAAGGCTACACTTATTTGGATTATCCTAAATACCTATGTAAAGATATACCTACTACAGGTGTGCAAAAGCTTTTGTTGTACATAGGCTACTTGATCATGAAGAAGAGACAGACAATTTGACAATCTATTACAATGAATTTTTTTTGTTTTATATATTTCATTTGGACATCTCTCAAATAATTTTTAAATACAGTAAGCTACTGGAATACTTCACATACTTCATGTACTTTGAACAAGTGATTAATGATCATTGCATTTTTTTTTAAACAAGCATAAATATAATAAAGCATGAAATATGATAGACTAAGCCTACTGAAACTTAATCATTTAGAGTCACTTTTTTTATCACTGCAAACCAAAATGGGTTATCAGGGGTTGTTCATAGATATTTCATTCAGGGGTTTATTGGAATAGAATAAACCTAGCTATCTACCTACTTAGGTGGTAATTGTGTGCAGGGATTTTGGAAACACTGTTGGCTTTGGGTGCAGCACTCAGACATAACATAACTGACATATTTGGGTTAATAATGCAATAGAAAGTATATTCTAGGAGTGGACAGAGGACATTAGGAATATTAACCCAGTATCAGTGTTGGGAACAGAACATCCAGGGTTAATTTAACAATAGAAATGTAATACTAATACAACATGATTCCCACTGACATGGAATGATAAAGGACCCTGTACAGTTTGTGTTTTAAAATGCTAACTTTGACTTTCTAGACACTGCCTGTATATTAACTAAAATGAGGAAGGAAAGTATTTCTAGTATAAAATGTAATGTCATAACCCACACACAGAGACATACAACAAAATTGGGACATTTCTCTATTAAGCTATGCAAACTATTGCTACTGTATCAGTATCTACAAATACATTGATTAAAACTGAGCAACTGAAATTGATGGCACATAAAGGGGAAAATGAAGATCAAGATATTTACACAAGCACATGAAATGTATACTTATTTACACAAAATGCACCTAATTGAGACTATAAATTGTATTGTTATAATTCCATGCTTAATTGTTTTGGTATCAGTCATCAAAATATAACTGTGCTTTGGCATTGGTATTTAAATATATATATATATATATATATTTAGGATAAAAAGTTAGTTATTTCCAGATTATTAACATTCGTGTCAGATGAAAGTTCAACACCTTACAACTAATAAACACTGTCTTCAATAGAGAAATAGATTTTTACATCAAAAATAATAACAGGTCTATCTCAATTACATGCACACTCCCACACACGCACACACACACGCAATCAATCAATCAATCAACCAATCGCACAATTAACCCTATCAGAGATGTACAGTAAAGGCATACATTATCATTCCAACCATTATAGACAGCTTTTTTTGGCAGATTGGTTGTGGTAGATTATTGGCAGTTAGTTCAGAGGGCCACCTGGTGGCACCATGCACTAGATCCTAGGACTAGAACTGGTGCTGGTAGGAGGCAGCGGTGGGCGAGGCGCAGCCCGGCTCGATGTGCTTCAGGTGGCAGGCGTGGCAGAGGAGGTGGCCGTCTAGCGGGTAGCAGCGGTGCCCCTCCTCGTCATTCAGCTCCATCTGACAGTCCTACAGACCAACACAGGGGGATGAGATGTGAAAAGCCTTTAAATAAATCTAATAACACTTGAACATTACCCCAAAAGGTTTTTGTTTATTTACATAACATTTACATAGAATTACATCTATGTGATTCCGTCTACATCTATCCGATTCTATGGGATCTGAACTGCTACATTTGTATTCAAAATGCTGGTTTAAAATACATACAGTACCAGTCAAAAGTTTGGACACACCTACTCATTCCAGGGTTTTTCTTTATTTTTACTATTTTCTACATTGTAGAATAATAGTGAAGACATCAAAACTATGAAATAACATATATGGAATCATGTAGTAACCAAAACAGTGTTAAACAAATCAAAATATATGTTATACAGTGGGGAGAACAAGTATTTGATACACTGCCGATATTGCAGGTTTTCCTACTTACAAAGCATGTAGAGGTCTGTAATTTTTATCATAGGTACACTTCAACTGTTAGAGACGGAATCTAAAACAAAAATCCAGAAAATCACATTGTATGATTTTTTAGTAATTAGTTTGCATTTTATTGCATGACATAAGTATTTGATACATCAGAAAAGCAGAACTTAATATTTGGTACAGAAACCTTTGTTTGCAATTACAGAGATCATACGTTTCCTGTAGGTCTTGACCAGGTTTGCACACACTGCAGCAGGCATTTTGGCCCACTCCTCCATACAGACCTTCTCCAGATCCTTCAGGTTTCGGGGCTGTCGCTGGGCAATACGGACTTTCAGCTCCCTCCAAAGATTTTCTATTGGGTTCAGGTCTGGAGACTGGCTAGGCCACTCCAGGAACTTGAGATGCTTCTTACGGAGCCACTCCTTAGTTGCCCTGGCTGTGTGTTTCGCATTGGAGATGGGTCGTGGCTGGGTCTTCCAACATGACAACGACCCATCTCCAATGCTCTTACTGAGGGAAGGAGGTTGCTGGCCAAGATCTCGCGATACATGGCCCCATCCATCCTCCCCTCAATACGGTTTAGTCGTCCTGTCCCCTTTGCAGAAAAGCATCCCCAAAGAATGATGTTTCCACCTCTATGCTTCACGGTTGGGATGGTGTTCTTGGGGTTGTACTCATCCTTCTTCTTCCTCCAAACACGGCGAGTGGAGTTTAGACCAAAAAGCTCTATTTTTGTCTCATCAGACCACATGACCTTCTCCCATTCCTCCTCTGGATCATCCAGATGGTCATTGGAAAACTTCAGATGGGCCTGGACATGCGCTGGCTTGAGCAGGGGGACCTTGCGTGCGCTGCAGGATTTTAATCCATGACGGCGTAGTGTGTTACTAATGGTTTTCTTTGAGACTGTGGTCCCAGCTCTCTTCAGGCCATTGACCAGGTCCTACCGTGTAGTTCTGGGCTGATCCCTCACCTTCCTCATGATCATTGATGCCCCACGAGGTGAGATCTTGCTTGGAGCCCCAGACGAGGGTGATTGAGCGTCATCTTGAACTTCTTCCATTTTCTAATAATTGCGCCAACAGTTGTTGCCTTCTCACCAAGCTGCTTGCCTATTGTCCTGTAGCCCATCCAAGCCTTGTGCAGGTCTACAATTTTATCCCTGATGTCCTTACACAGCTCTCTGGTATTGGACATTGTGGAGAGGTTGGAGTCTGTTTGATTGAGTGTGTGGACAGGTGTCTTTTATACAGGTAACGAGTTCAAACAGGTGCAGTTAATACAGGTAATGAGTGGAGAACAGGAGGGCTTCTTAAAGAAAAACTAACAGGTCTGTGAGAGCCGGAATTCTTACTGGTTGGTAGGTGATCAAATACTTATGTCATGCAATAAAATGTAAATTAATTACTTAAAAATCATACAATGTGATTTTCTGGATTTTTGTTTTAGATTCTGTCTCTCACAGTTGAAGTGTACCTATGCTTTGTAAGTAGGAAAACCTGCAAAATCGGCAGTGTATCAAATACTTGTTCTCCCCACTGTATTTGAGATTCTTCAAATAGCCACCCTTTGCCTTGATGACAGCTTTGCACACTCTTGGCATGCTCTCCACTCTTATTAATTGTTTATCTGGCTTCCACAGTGGAGCTATTCAGAGAGAGAGATCCCTCAAAAGCTCTCGTCTCCACACGGCTCACTGCTGTTTGTTTTCAAGTGCTCTCAGAACTCCATATGCCAATCAAATGCTATTGAGGCGGGAGTCAGGAGAAGAGGCACTTGAGGAGAATCATCAGACAGTATTGACGAGCAAAGCAAATTAGCATGTGCTTGAGCTCCTCTTTCTAGCTCGCAATTAGTACCAAGACTGTAATTAAGCACTGGGACCACCTTGTCTATGGTCTGTGTGCAGTAAATAGCTTTCCAGAATATGTGACCATGCGAAGTGAGACTATTCTCCCGACACTTTTTCCTTTTAAATTCTGTTTACTTTATGACGACTAATCGCAGAACCCCGAACCAAATCTCTCTAACGTTTATTTTAAAAGACTAAATGATGACTGAAATAGGGAGTTCTTGATATGATGAGAAGGCTGACATATGGTATAGGATCTACCCCCTGGTATTTAAGCGCATTCATGTAGAGAAATAATGAGGCGTTTTATAGTGGATATACTTACTAAGATGACAGCTTTAACATTTAGTCTTGTCACCAACAACACAGAACATCCAGTCTCTACAAGGATATTGGAAAACAACAAGCGAATTTGTATCTTAATGTTTACCTACCTCACAGTGATAGCACTCCACGTGGTAGTCTTTATCCATGGATACCACTCGGATGGTTTCATCAGAGCCCTGTGGAGACAAACAGACAGCCTTTTCAGTGTCCACTGAACCCCAGTGTCTATCAGTATAGGCTGCATCGGTTCATTTAAAACAATTAAACATGGCGTGCTTGGCCCGGACAACTCTCACATTTTTGATACGGCCAATGTCAGGTATGGGAGAAACATATGACAGGTGGCTCTGTTCAGTGGACTTTTTAAAGTAAAAAATATATAATAATGTCTTGACATTTAGCAGCCTCTCTTATCCAGAGCCATTTATAGTTAGTGCATCTTAAGATAGCTAGGTGAGACCATAAAGATCCTATTAAATGATTATATGGGTGAGACAAACACATATCACAGTCATAGTAAGTACATTTTTCCTCAGTAGTTGTCAGCAAAGTTTTTTGTATTCTTTTTAATGTTCAAAACCATAAGTCAATTTTGGCAGTAACAGAGTGCATTCAATTCAGTGCACTTTTCATATTGTGCAGGTGCAGGTGACAGTGGGAAATGCGTCAGCCAATCAGAGTCCTGTAACCAAAGAGATCCTATTCAAATGGGATTCTATAGGTTGTTATCAATAAAACGTCACAAGGTGCAGAGCGTTCAATTTGCCTGCTAAAACCATTGACAACTGCATGCCGTTTTCAAGGGATTGTTAAATAAATGTTATAACTATTTGGTTTTAATATCACCTCTTGAAGAGCATAGTCAGAACTACACATTTCAGATTATTCCACATGTAGTTCTATCATCAGAGTTATACAGCAAGTAACTGCATGCTTTTCATGATCAGTAAACATCAATTGATCATGTATTTTCAGATACGTAAGGGTAGCCTATCATTTGGCATGTAGCCAGCTGTTGAAGAGGGGATAATGTTAGCTAACTTCACTAGTAGGCCTACATTGGTTGGAGAAAAAATTACATTAGGTAATTACCCCTATGTTTCGCCAACTGTACAAAGTTTCTACCGGTAGCTTGCAAAGTAAACATTATCAGTTAACAGTACATCGGCAAATGCACCCTTCTGCTGTTTGACAGGCAGAGCCCACAAAGGACGGGAAATTAACTTAAACCACTCATCCTTGTCAGGTATAATTCACTTTTATTTCAGATCACCCAAATATCCAATTAATGGTGGCCAATATTGAGAGATATCATGAGGCTACCCTCACGTATCTGAAATGACTCCTTGCCCCCCAGCAGACAAATCAAACACTCTACATCTTATTGTGATGTTCTATTGACAACGACCTATATGTAATGCTGTGCCTGTAATAGCATGTATTATGATGTCACAACACCAAAATTATGGAATCCATCAGTGACATAATCATAACAATGACATAAGTCAACACTCAAATGATAGATTGACCACCACTACCTTGAGATCTCCACCTTCAGAGAGGACTGTTGAGCTCCTTAGATAGCCTACAGTACATTTGTTTTTACATGCTGAGCGTCCATTGATAAAATGATCCCTTTCCGTTATAGGCCTGTCCATTGCTTTGTCATTTAGCCTCATTTTTTTGGGGGGGGGGCTATAGTTAGCTGTGATTGCTAACAGGTACAGTAAGCTAATTACTGCTGATATATCAACCAGCAGGCTAGCTAACTAGGCTTTATCCTGACATCCATTTGTGTCCTTTTACTTCCAACGTTTACAAACTACAGCATTTGAAATAGGCCTACTAATAGGCCAAGATTGGCAAGATGGTAGTTCTGTAGAAACGTGTCCTTTGGCCAACACCAGCATTCTGGACAGTACTGTGAACCTTCACCTGAGAAAACAGCCAGGTGTCAAAGACCAAGGCTAAACCAACAGTCAGCTTCTGATAGACAGTCTGGGTTCAGCCTGCTACAGCTTCAGAGGGCAGGTACTACAGCTGGAATGTCCAGTATGTATCAGACTTTCACCAATTATTACCATCATCACACAAGCTATTCATCATGGTCATGTGGTTATATATAATTGTTAAGTGATAATAAAGTAAGGCTTGTCAGAATTGACATTATGATAGAATTAACTATTCAGTTAACTGACTTCTTATATTCTATATCAGCCAAAGGATCAGCAGGAGGGTATATGGAAGATGTTCTGCTATCTATCAACTCATTTAAAACTAGTTATACACGTTAAATAAAAGATATTCTAAACTCTCCCCCTTGTACTGTACTGTGGTCCCTTCTACAAACCACCTGCTAGTAGGCAGGAATTTATCTGGCCTTTTTCATGACAACGTACATGCAGGTGTAACACAAACTACCCCCTGCTCTGAATTCTACCCTTCCAGCCTCAGTGAGGAGGGGCAACATTCCTGTAGAGTCAACTCTAATTTTGGAGAAAAACAATTTGAGGGAGGGATAACGTTAAGGGCAAAAGTCATGCACTGAGTGAGGCGTAGGGTGCAGTGCCTGCATCTGAATCACACACCGAAAAATGCAACTAACACCGCTCCCAAAACCACCCCATGTAGGCCTACACACAGAGGTCTCAAATAGAAGCCCAGCCCTGAATCTAGACCTCAGTGGCTGGTGTCATAGTCTGGCCTCTGGTTCAAATAGTGCTCTTTCAGATACGTTGATAGTTTGATTGAGCCTGAATGGAGTGCCAGATCAGCTGAGTTTGCTCTTTTGGGACAATTCCATTGGTTCCATTGCGCCAGCTCAATCAAGCACTAAATAAATAAACATTTTTGGGGGGGGGGGGGGGGGGGGGGTCTGCTGACCTGCGTGTAACTATGGCAGCCATTACAACAAGAGATGTTCCCAGGTCTGCTATCAGGTTGGTTTATTGCTTCAGCCCAGACCTTAGACTGAGTAAATAGCTGTGAAAATTGATGTCTTCCTGAATCCTGACTGCAGCTTGCTTGGCTCAGGAGAGAGCGAGACTTCAGAAATGAGTTCCAAATGTTTAAAGAGGGAAAGCTGATCATCATGCCTGCGATCCCTTTCAAGTCCCTCTACATCCAAACAGTTGCTTAAAGGGATACCTGCTCATGTGCAACATGTTAAAACACAGCACACCCCTTCCCCCTCCTCCTCCTGCACTAGAGCCTGACCTAGGATAGTAGCATACTTGATCGTTTGCTACTGCCTCAGTAGGATACTTGATCGTTTGCTACTGCCTCAGTAGGATACTTGATCGTTTGCTACTGCCTTAGTAGGATACTTGATCGTTTGCTATGCCCGAGAAACTCTCTCCTCACATCTGGCTCCAGTCTCAGTTCAACACTGGGGTTGGTAATCAATCTTTACCCTGAGGGAATCAGGTCAGGGGTTGCAATGTGACTGTCCATATCGGCATTGGACGGGAATGGATGTGTTTGTATCGTAAACCATAATATAGGAAATGCCTGAAGATTTTGATTATCATTCATTACTAGGGACAGGAGTTCTTCCTGTTGAAGTCACTTTGCAGACAGGAACCATTCCAAGCCTTGTTCATTATATTATTAGTCAACCGATCAACTTGGTATTTTTGTCATACATGACATGAAGATGATCAGAAAAACACCTATTTTATGGTTTTAAGTCCTTAGTCTATTACTTGAAGATGCTGTGTTCAAAGAGAGATTACCTCTGAAGGCAGGATGGGCTGGTTACATGCTGCACATTTGGGGGCCAAGACCCTGAGAAAACGAGAGAACAAGATAAATCAATTGATAGAAATAGTAACAGTTTCAGACGGAAAATGTATGTCTGGTTTATATTGGTTCCCCACAGAAAGACCACCATGCTTGATATAGATACAGCACTTGCATCTGTTACTCTTTTCTGGTTAATACTTCTTCCTCTCATTCACCAGCCCCCTTTTCTCTCCTCCTTTCCCCCTCTCTCCCTTCAGTGTGTGTGTGTATGACAGCGTTGAGACTGCTAAGGAGAGATGGTGAGTCGCCAGGTCTGCAGATGTGCTGGCTCAGCCTCACACGTGATTCAACCAATCCAGAAAAATACATTCATTCTTTCCCCCCACATACACACAGACCCACACACAGCTGGCAGCTGACTGGCACCTGAATGTCTGAGTCTGTAAAACAAAGGCCCTCTCAGCGTAGTGGGCATGACTAGGTCTGATTAAGAAACCACACACATTTCTTATCCTAGATATATGTTAGCATGTGGAAGCAGTGCCAGGGAAATTAAACCAAAGCATTGATTGATGTCATACCTTGTTCATAGACTGCCTATAGGTTAAGGAAACCAATGTGTCATTTTGTAATTTGGGTGAAGTATCCCTTAACTCAAAGCAACCTACAAATCAAATCCAATTTTATTTGTCACATACACGTGTTTAGCAGATGTTATTGCAGTATGCTAGTGAATGAATGCTAGTGACGATTCACCATGATTAGGTGGGAAAAGACATCTGGTGGTTTCAGTACAGTGAGCTCTGATTGCTCTAACATAAGGTCCCATGGCTCATAGTTCCCCCTGGTTCTGTCAGTATACTGGGCTGTTGCCCTGGTCTGGCCTGGCCGGGTGCTGTGGATTCCATTGTGACCAGATTCCTGATTCAGTGTGTTTGTTGTGCTTGGCTGAGGTGACCCCTGCTGCTCCTCCCTTTGCTCTTCCACAGGACACTCATCCCTTCCTACCTAACATCTCCTCTCTCCTCTCTTCCCCTTCCTCTCCAGTGTCAGAAACTCCTCTCCACGTGGCAAAAACCTGATCCTGCTATGTCCAAATGGAACTGCCGCTGACTTCTGTTATAGCAACATGACTTCAATCAGGCCTTATTGCTAGCGCAAGTTAAACTAATATATTTATGTTGTGCAGTGTTCATAATGGTTGTACCCACGTACCTGTGGTAGTCTTTGACACAGTAAATCTTGTTCTCTGTGTCCACAGTGAAGGGCACTCCGTCCAGACTGTCGTTGCAGATGACACAACGGAAACAGCCAGGGTGGTAGGACTTCCCAAGGGCCTGCAGGATCTATAGAGGTGGAAGGAGGGAGAGAGAGAAAGAGAGAGGGAGAGAGGGAGGAGAGAGAGAGGAGAGAGAGAGAGAGAGTAGAGTAGCTAGAGAGAGAGCGAGAGAGACGCTATTAGAGAGATCTATCACTCTCGATATCGCGCTCTCGCTCTTCTTCTCGCAGATAGCGAATTTCAATGCTTTATCATATCTAACAAGTAGTGGATCACTGATCACTCATCCATGGAGCATAGAGTTGACTTAGTAGCTGAGGGAAGCAGTGTGTTGGAGAGCGAGACAGTGATAATAATAGGAAAACAGATCTGTCCCCCCTGCTACAGCTCTGTATGGTTAACATGTGTAAAGCCATGTCATGGTAAATCCTTCATGTGTTACTACACCTGCTGATGACTACTGGACTTGGGTTTTACATTATCTCTATGTGTCCTGGTTTTACCCTAGTGTGTGTGTGTGAGTGTGTGTGTGTGTCCTGAAACCACCACTTCCTCCTAAGCTTTCTCCAGATGTGCCCACAGGAAGTTCTATGAGGGAGGAGTGACTCCATGTTTCTGCTGCTCAACACACTGATGGAGAGCACACGCACACACACAAACACACACACACACAGGCAGCAGAAACACTCACCATGTCCATGATCAGATGTCCGCATGCGTTACACTTGTCTGCAGACTGCTGGAATCCAGAATACTGGAACAGACAGAGGAGAGGGGAGAACAGTGAGGTTACTGCTGCTACATCATCTCATAGGAAACTGGTGGCATCTTAGACTGACTCATAGTCTTCTTCTCATATGAGCCCAGTCTACCTCATATGATACATGGGGGAATTCTCCCACATCAATTTAATGTTTAATTAATGATAAATGTCCAGAAATAGCCCTCTAATACCAGGCGAGGTAAGTTAGACTCATTAGCAGCACAGAGACTGTTCGCTGCTCTGGCACCCCAATGGTGGAACAAGCTCCCTCACGACGCCAGGACAGCGGAGTCACTCACCACCTTCCGGAGACATTTGAAACCCCACCTCTTTAAGGAATACCTGGGATAGGATAAAGTAATCCTTCTACCCCCCCCCCCCCCCCCCCCCCCCCCCCTTTACTCCAACCCACCCCCCCCCCAAAAAAAAAAAAAAAAACATTGTAAAGTGGTTATCCCACTGGCTATAAGGTGAATGCACCTATTTGTAAGTCGCTCTGGATAAGAGCGTCTGCTAAATGACGTAAATGTAAAAATGTAAAATGAGACAGTAGGACAACTGATTTAATCGACTAATTACAGACAAACTGTAATGTAATGGAGCGTGTTGTTGTGACAGGGCAGCTGAGGTTAACATGGGGCGTCCTGCTGGTCCTGCTTTATACAAGGTGTCACTGTGCAATGCCCAGGGGCGTATGCCTCTAAAATAAGTACTATCTCCAGTTACCCGACCCCCCCTCCCTAATGCCCCTACGGGAGTAAACTGATCCAGAATCCCTTAGAAACCTGAACTTGGGCCACGAGGTGAAGAAATTAAACTCAAACTATAATCTGGAGTCCAGAGGTCACATATAGTCACGGTAGCACACAGTGGAAGGCACATACATGCTGCCAAACATTTAGAAAAATAGATAATACCCTATTCACATACTGCTAAACTATGTAGGGTTCTAGATACAGTATCCAGATGGACTACTTACCAGAAAGTCCTCTTCACAGAACACCTTCCCACCGACGTAGTAAAATGCTTTCCCCCGTAGCCTTCTGCCTGGGACGAAGAACAGAGAGAAGAGATGGGCTTTTAGAATATTACGTAACTTAACTGAAACAACACTGAACAGGCTGGGCTGGGCCCAACCATGAGACCAAACTGTCTGACCATGATTAGACCAAACATTACTTTTACCAAATTGCAGCAGATCACACGGGAGGCATCTGGGAGTATTCAGAGAGATATGTGAACTCATATGAAAACCTAGTCTAGTGTCAGATCTATTCGACGGCACAAACTGATCTGAACCAGGCTAATGAGCCCTATACATCTCCCCTAAGTCACACCAGAAGAATGCCCAGAAGCACTGTGGTAACTTCTATCAGTTTAAAGGCTCCAGAACGTCAGACAGAATCCATTAGGTCTTGCTAATTCCCAGACACCAACTCAAATAAACACTGAGTCTAATACTGTAGCAGCCTCTTGATTTAATCTGCTTCAGAGAGAGACTGGCCTGGTTGGGCAGCTTTCTGCTGCACTGGGAACTACTGGGAACACATCTGGGGCCTCGCTCAGACAATCACTACCACATGAGGGAAAAATTGTGTGATTGAATACAATGACTAAACAGAGCGTAACTGATTAAAACAGAGTTCTCTAATGGTTTGCTTCACATGGCAAAGAGAGAGAGAGACAGATATAGAGAGAGAGGGAGAGAGACCCAGGCCTCAGACCCAGAGGCAGCACTAGCTCTCCTTCTTTCCCTCTTCTTTCCTGCTTTTTGTCTGTTCTCTCCAAGATCGATCCACACACCGAGAGCACTTCCTGTCTCTGTCTGTCTGTCTGAATCCCCTCTCCTTCATAATATACCCCCTTCTCTCCTCCCCTCCCTCCATTCCTACAGCCCATGTCCCACAGGAAGGGGAAACATTCCACACATTTTCAGGGAGGAGGTGAAGGAGGGAGGAGGGAGAGAGAGAGGAGTGGGTTAACACTAGTGAATGGGAGCCTTCTTCATCTCCTGGCTGCAACAGAGCTATTAGCTACACAAGTTAGACTAATCAAAAATGGCGGAAGGTGAGCAGAGCGGTGGTGCTAAAAGAATCACTAACCAATTAGGAACTAATATGTTTTATTCACAGGTCTCATTGTCAGAGAAGCCTGGCTGAGGGAATGGGGTTCTTAATACAACAGGCCTGGGATGGAGAGAAGAGCAGCGCACCGGTTGCAATGATACCAGTGGTGACCTGATCATGGCATTGAGGGGGCAGCAGAGTTCAGACAAACAGCTAGAGCACACTGTAGCAAAACCTTTTGCAATGGAAAACGGACATGTGTGTTCTTATTGGACAGTTCAGGTAGTTTTGTCCAATAAGAACACTGAAGTTCAGGTAGTACCTCCCCGTTTCCCTAAGTTTCAAAATGTTTTCTCCCCTACTGAACATGACCCTAGTGACCCCTCCCCCCAGGGAAAAGAAGGGAAAAATAAGACTTTCCACTGATTCCTCCTCTCTGGTACTTTAACTCTAAATCCGCGATAAACCCAGAACCCACATTATCCTAAAAACATCTAATGCCATGTGGGACCATCTCAGGGGTAACAAAAATAGACATTAAATCACAGTAGAGCTCCTGAAAGCCCACAGCAACCATCTGAAGGGTTTGATCCTCTTATGGACATGAGGAGCCAAACAATGAGACATCCTGTACTGTACTTCTATCAAGGCTTTTAACCTACGCATGCACTAACATTATGAAACTGGCCAAGCTTCCTGACAAAACTCTGAACTAACGGTCTTATCATGTACAACATTTTCCCTTTGTAACATGCCTATCCTGCCGGTACTTCGGTGGGATAACCGACAATATCAAGGTCAGAAAGGCAATCGATACAACAACAAAAAAATACAATAATCTCTGCATCAGGAAAAGGTACAAAACTGGCCCTTAAATAATCATAATTTAATAACCCTATTTTCCCCTTAATTTCCCTCAGGAACAAAGAAAATAATGATGGAGGGAATGGGGGATGAAAGTGAGATATGAACACTTCTTCACATTCCTGTCTTTTTGGAGAGAGAGAGAGAGAGAGAGAGCGAGAGAGAGAGAGAGAAGGCAGGGAGCCTTGTGAGAAGATAAGATTAATGAATGTCAGAAGAAGTCTGGGCTGGCAGTAATGAAAGAGTTCCAGAAGAATTACGACTATTTCCCCCCTCATATAAATAATAAATGCCTAAGAGACAGAAAAAAAAACACAGGCCTGGGCCGTTTTCTAATGAAAACATTCTTTAATACCTCAAGGTTGATTCTAAGATCTATCTGTGCACTTCTCCAACACCTTTCATTAATTATTTATAACCCTGTCTATTACTGTACTATAAATACTAGCAATCTAGGAAGGAAATCACAAGAGCTATGTGAGAAAGCACAGATCAGATGCCATCACAGCAAAAGAGAATGGACCACATTTCACATGTGCTGAAAACGTTCATAATACCCATAACCCATTCTTCCTTAGAAAAGCTGTAATGGTTCTCAACAAGTATGTGAATTTAGATTCATTTAGTTTAATCCTATCTAATCCTTATTTCCCCAGCACAATAACATGTGTCCAATAGGGTTTAAGTGTTTATTTGGAAGAAATTGTTACTCACAGCAATGTCCTCCCTTACTCAATCACATTTATCAGATCTAGAGTGTGGACACCGGGACAGGGTAGGGTGTTTTAGCTTGACAAACTATCCACCATCTAAGAGTGCCAGCATTCAAATCACAGCAGTTTTCAGATCACTAACGTCACAGCCAATCCATGTTTGTGTTCTCCAGAGGCAGAAGATTAGTTGGAGAGGCTGATGTTGTAAGGTGGGTTGGGATTGGTTGGGCTGAGGACACAGCAGGGCCTGTTGTATCCTGACCTGATAGGTTCACAACAACAATTACACTTCTGTTCTCACAAAAAACCAACCCACCTCCAGTCTCACCTCAGCCAAATGCTCTAGTCCACACACACTACGCTACTCTCCGCTTGATCAAATCATGCCAAATGAAGTTCCATTGGGAAAAGTTAGGAAATGACTGCCTAACTGTGTGTCGTGAGGGCAGATTTAGACTCTACGTTTGTGAGAACAGGCCCTCTTTATTGAGGGAGACATTGCAAAGACAACACTTTTTTAGACGCAAATATCTCTGCTATTAAAGGTGCTCCATTATCTCTGGTCCAAAGTTCTGAGTATGATGAGCATTTGAATGAGAATGATGGTGCAAAATAAATAAAGGTCTTAAAAGGAAAGTAAAACATTACAATTCATGGTGGCAAAAATATCATAGGCGTCATGGCGACTAAAACCACTTGCTGCCCATGTCATTTCCCGTCCAGGGCGTTTCCCAGCCGTCTAGTCTGCTGATCTGCTCTGAGGCTGAGATGTGTAATCCCCCACAATCCTTCCCTCTCATTCCCACCTACTCTAGGCTTTAGCGTCCTGCTGGAGCTTTGCTGTCTCCGCTCACCTTCTGCTTTCGTTGCTCCTTCTAACAGCCCTTTGTCTTGACCAACAGATTATTGTCATAGACTACCTAGAAGCCCACTCTATAGCCCACTTGAATAGACCTGTAAGCCCTTCTCCTCTTTTACAAACAAGCCCATATCTCCCCTGGGTGAAGGGGAGTTATAGGGCGTTAAAGGGGGTTGAGTGCTTTGTGGTGGTGTTTTAAAGAGGCATGCTTGTGACCGTTCTAGAAGAGTCAATAATTAGCTGCTCTAACTGGAACCTTCTGTGAGCGATGCGTCTTCTGTCTTCTGTCCTAGACATGCAGATTGAACTATCCTCCTACCTATCAAAGGATGCACCCACTGCCTCCCCCCTGCCTCCACCCTACCTCCACCCTGCCTGTCTCCCAGGCACCTTGTGGAAGGGGGGAGATATCAAAGGATGCACCCACTGCCTCCCCTCTGCCTCCCCCCTACCTCCACCCTGCCTGTCTCCCAGGCACCTTGTGGAAGGGGGGAGACATTCCCCTTTAAGTATTTTAAGTTCAGGGTCATAAAGATTCTGTCATGCAACAAAAGAACCATGAAGGTGGTAGAGGGGGGTAGAGGGGAGGGAGAATCTGCTTAACAAGACAGTTGCTGTGTGTGTATGTTTGTGTGTGTGTGTTCCGGCGTAGGTGGAACTTGCCAGTGTGTGGTGGGTAGTTCTGAATGGTCCTCCTGTCTTGCCCCGTGCTCCCCTACCTCCCTGTGTCCAGCTGGCATAACACCACTCTGTGTCCTCTCCTCGGACTCCCACCCTGAGGCCCCTTACGCCTGCATTCCTCCCCGGCCCCTCTCCCCGTGGAGCCGGCCGCAGCCTCTGTGCCCTCAGATGGAGAAGGGTATGGGCGGTATGGTGTATCCTCCTAACTCCCCCCAGTTTACACCCCACCAGCTTCCCTAACTCTCTCCATTCCGTGGCTCTTCTTTTTAGTGCCTTCACAGTCACACTCTCTCGCTCACACACACGCACAAGCACACACACACAAACGGTTGGGCACATAAACAACAACACAGGGTGTGTTAATCAGCGATGGTAGAGCATGAGCTTTCAGGTCAGGGGTCAGGAGGCCTCACACTGCCCTCTAATTGGCATGGGCAGAGGTCAGAGATCATCTCCAAAGGGGGATTTTAATTGGTCGACTCATCTATAGATACCTAAAGCAGCAACCATCTAGACAGGATGGCTCTGGAATCCCTCTGAAGTTCTAGTAAGGAGATCACAGTGAAAACACAGGGCCAAGCTCATCTATGGGAGATGCAGAGGTCAGGGGAGGTGAGAAGACAGAGGCCAAGGGAAGGGGGAAGCAAACTTGTTGCAGCCAGGGAATCATCCCAGCTGAACATCACTAAATCAGTGAGACACTGAACCATAAAGTTGGTGAACTACTGAATCCCTGAGTAACTGAATCACATCGATTGATTTGTTGAATCTATGAGCCACTAAACTGCAGCTGAACTATGGTGATCTACCTTCATGTCCCAGGGTCTGTGTGTTCTGATGTGGCATTCTCTTCTCTTTGTGTGGGCTGTTCATTTAGTAGAACAGGAGCTCAGAAAACAATACAACTCACAGCAACATGATCTGCCATGAGGTGCATGGGGGCCTTCAACACACTGGGTGGAATAAGTCAGGGTTTCCCAAATTCGGTTCTGGGGCCCCTACGCCTGGGTGCACATTGTGGTTTTTGTCCTAGCACTACACAGCTGATTCAAATAACCAACTGATCATCAAGTATTTGAATCAGCTGTGTAGTGCTAGGGCAAAAAACAAAACGTGCACCCAGAGTCACCTAGAACCGAATTTGAGAAATCCTGGAGTAGGTGACTCTGTGTGTGTGTGTGTGTGTGTGTGTGTGCGTACATGCGTGTACACAGAGGGTGAGGAAAGAGTGAGTGAGGCAGGTTTTGTTTGTGTATATAGATCAGTAAGTTTGGGGGGTGGCTGGCGTGGTAGTGGTCGTGGTAGTGGGCGTGGCCAATGGCGCAGTCTACATAAAAAATTTTAGAGGCTGAATTTTAGATGCTGTCCTCTTGGCCGCAGAGACAACATGTTGCTGTTTTATAGCTAATTTACTGCAATTATACACATTTTGCCATGGGGCACAGAGAACATTTTTACCGTTTTAAAACTAGTTTCCTGCAATTCTACACATTTTGTCATGGGGCTGAGAGACAAATGTGCAGTTTTTAAAGCTAATTTCCTCGCTAAGTTCTTATGCTATCTGAGTAACTAAAACATTATAACAAAATCAATGGGGGCCCCATGCCATGACATTTTTAGAATTTTAGATTCTCCCTGTCTAGTTTATATTTTGGTGATTGTTAGTTCTCAAAAGATGATCTTATTTAAAAATATATAGCTCCATTATATTTTCTACATACTTTATATCTTGTTTAAGTCGTTTAAGTTTACACAGAAATCGCTTCACCATCCATAAAAAAAAATAATATTATATATATATTAATACAGGGGAAACAGTGGTAGGTTACTTGCTTCAGGTGAAGTAGGTGTCATGTTAGAGGTAAGGAGAGAGTAGGTGAGGTAGACAGGGTTTACTGTATAGAGTGTTTCATTAGTTAGTGTAGTACTTACTGCAGGCGCTGCAGGTGAAGCAGACATCATGATAGAGGCTTCCCATAGCCTGGCAGGCCTGAGTGGCTCCGTACACCGCCTTGTTACACTTCACACAGCTCCCTGGAACACAACACAACAGCCAGGTCAGAGACATGAACACACACACACGCACACACACACACATTGTGCAGAAATAACTATGCTACCGTCATGTACTTGGGCACTACCACTGTCTCAGTCATAAGCAGTTGTCCTGTTAGAATAGAACGTTAGAATTGTACCCATTCCATAACACTAATGAGAACTGGATCCATAACAAGCAGACTGATAAAACCAGACACAAACAATGGAATGAAAAAAGCCTAACAACAGTCAAAGGAAATCAGTTAGCCATGCTGTATCATTGAAGGGGAAATATATTCCAATCTGCTTGTTTGGTTTGGCTCTGGCCTAGAGGAGTCTGTCACATGAACACTGTGATAAAAGACCCAAGTGTTCCTACCAAACACGCACACACACACGCACACACACACACACACACACACACACACACACACACACACACACACACACACACACACACACACACACACAGCTAATCATGCAGTACAGTGTCTTGCAAAAGTATTCATCCCCCTTGGCGTTTTTCCTATTTTGTTGCATTACAACCTGTAATTTAAATTGATTTTTATTTGGAATTCATGTAATGGACATACACAAAATAGTCCAAATTGGTGAAGTGAAATGAAAAAAAATAACTTGTTTCAAAAAATTCTCAAAAATAAATAACGGAAAAGTGGTGCATGCATATGTATTCACCCCCTTTGCTATGAATCCCCTAAATAAGATCTGGTGCAACCAATTACCTTCAGAAGTCACATAATTAGTTAATAAAGTCCACCTGTGTGCAATCTAAGTGTTACATGATCTGTGTCAAATGATCTCAGTATATATACACCTGTTCTGAAAGGCCCCAGAGTCTGCAACACCACTAAGCAAGGGGCACCACCAAGCAAGCGGCACCATGAAGACCAAGGAGCTCTCCGAACAGATCCAAGTTGTGGAGAAATACAGATCAGGGTTGGGTTATAAAAAAATATCCGAAACTTTGAACATCCCACGGAGCACCATTAAATCCATTATTAAAAAATGGAAAGAATATGGCATCACAACAAACCTGCCAAGAGAGGGCCGCCCACCAAAACTCACGGACCAGGCAAGGAGGGCATTAATCAGAGAGGCAACAAAGAGACCAAAGATAACCCTGAAGGAGCTGCAAAGCTCCACAGCAGAGATTGGAGTATCTGTCCATAGGACCACTTTAAGCCATACACTCCACAGAGCTGGGCGTTACGGAATTGAGGGCAGAAAAAAGACATTGCTTAAAGAAAAAAATAAGAAAAAATGTCAAAAGCCATGTGGGAGACTCCCCAAACATATGGAAGAAGGCACTCTGGTCAGATGAGACTAAAATTGAGCTTTTTGGCCATCAAGGAAAACGCTATGTCTGGTGCTAACCCAACATTTCTCATCACCCCAATGTTTTTAATCTGCAGGGACTGGGAAACTGGTCAGAATTGAAGGAATGATGGATGGCGCTTGAGGGAAACCTGTTTCAGTCTTCCAGAGATTTGAGACTGGGCCAGAGGTTCACCTTCCAGCAGGACAATGACCCTAAGCACCCTGCTAAAGCAACACTCGAGTGGTTTAAGGGGAAACATTTAAATGTCTTGGAATGGCCTAGTCAAAGCCCAGACCTCAATCCAATTGAGAATTTGTGGTATGACTTAAAGATTGCTGTACACCAGCGGAACCCATTCAACTTGAAGGAGCTGGAGCAGTTTTGCCTAGAAGAATGGGCAAAAATCCCAGTGGCTAGATGTGCCAAGCTTATAGAGACATACCCCAAGAGACTTGCAGCTGTAATTGCTGCAAAAGGTGGCTCTACAAAGTATTGACTTTGGGAAAAATGCCAAGGGGGGTGAATACTTTCGCAAGCCACTGTCTAATCTAGTCAGCTGACAGGCAGCGGAGGTGGAAAGTTCCATGGAGAGAAAGAGAGTGTAAGAGAGCGAGAGAGAAAGAGTGAGATAAAGAGAAAGAGTGAGAGAAAGAAAGAGAAAGAGAGAGAGAGAGAGAAAGAGTCCAGTGAAAATAGAAAGAGCTCGTGTCATGTGTCCTGTGAGGTGTTTTGTGTGCTGTGGTCTTCTGACTGAGCTGAGAGGTTAGCAGTGTGCTGAGAGAGATGTGGTAACAGAACAACATGAGCCCACAGCAGCATGGCATGGCACAGTGCTGAAACAACAGTGTGTTACACACACACAACATTCCCCAGGGGGACGAAGACCACGCCAGGGACAGTACCGCCTCGCCTGGCCACTGACAAAGAAGCTTCTGTCTCTGGCCTGCTCTCCTGCAGACAGACATCACAAGGCACTACGTCTGTCTGCCTCTTCCCCTAACACGCTGTCAGCGTCCCAAATGTCCCCCCTATTTCCTACATTGGGAATAGGGTACCATTTGCAACGCATCCACTGTCAGCCACAGACAAGAGACAACATTAAGTTCTCCTCTTCATACTGTAACACAATATAGAAATGAAGGAGCTATGCACAGTTTATAAGGTACACCACCTCGTTCACGAAAATGGTTCGCTCCTACAGACAATTAGTCACGTGAACGTGGCTTGCTATATAAAGCAGGCAGACAGGCATCGAGGCATTCAGTTACTGTTCGATTGAACAGGCAAAACGTGTGACCTAAGCGACTTTGAGCGTGGTATGATCGACGGTGCCAGGCGCGCCGGTTCCAGTATCTCAGAAAGGGCCGGCCTCCTGGGCTTTTCACGCATGACGGTGTCTAGGGTTTACCAAGAATGGTGCAACAAACAGTCAGCGACAGTCCTGTGGGAGAAAACAGCTTGTTGATTAGAGGTCGAAGGAGAATGGCAAGAATTGTGCAAGCTAACAGGCGGGCCACAAACAGGCAAATAACGGCGCAGTACAACAGTGGTGTGCAGAACGGCATCTCGGAATGCACAACACGTCTGTCCTTGTCACGGATGGGCTATTGCAGCAGATGACCACACAGGGGTTCCACTCCTATCAGCTAAAAACAAGAAAGCCGGCTCCAGTGGGCACACAATCACCAACACTGGACAATTGAGGAGTGGAAAAACTTTGCCTGGTCCGACGAACTCCTGTTGCGTCATACTGGTGGCAGAGTCAGGATTTGGCGTAAGCAGCATGAGTCCATGGCCCCATCCTGTCTGGTGTCAATGGTACAGTGGTGGAATGGTGTGGGGAATGTTTTCCTTGCACACATTAGGTCCCTTGATACCAACTGAGCAATGTTTCCATGCCCCCAAGAATTCAGGTTGTTCTGGAGGCAAAGGGTGGTCAACTGATTATACAAAACATTAAGAACACCTGCTCTTTCCATGACATAGACTGACCAGGTGAATCCTGGTGAAAGCTATGATCCTTTATTGATGTCACTTTTTAAATCCACTTCAATCAGTGTAGATGAAGGGGAGGAGACAGGTTAAAGAAGGATTTTTAAGCCATGAGACAATTGAGACATGGATTGTGTATGTGTGCCATTCAGAGGGTGAATGGGCAAGACAGAAGATTTAAGTGCCTTTGAATGGGGTATGGTAGTAGGTGCCAGGCGCATCGGTTTGTGTCAATAACTGCAACGCTGCTGGGTTTTTCCACGCTCAAGAATGGTCCACCACCCGAAGGACATCAAGCCAACTTGACAAAACTGTGGGAAGCATTTGAGTCAACATTGGTCAGCATCCGTTAGGAATGCTTTCAACACCTTGTAGAGACCATGCCTCGACGAATTGAGGCTGTTCTGCGGACAAAAAATGAAGGAGTGGGGGGGGGGGGGGGTTCAACTCATTATTAGGAAGGGGTTCCTAATATTTAGTATACTCAGTGTATATACCGAATTGAATCAACCTCTCCTGTTAACTACAACACAGTCCTCTAGTCTGGCCTTATAACCTGTGACTGGCTTCAAGCCATTTGTCCTGCCTATCATGACTCTACCGCCGATACTGTAACACAATATAGGAATGAGCTATATATACCTGTATGAATCAACCTTTTCTGTTAACTAAACTCAGCAAAAAAAGAAACGTCCCTTTTTCAAAGATAATTCGTAAAAATCAAAATAACTTCACAGATCTTCATTGTAAAGGGTTTAAACACAGTTTCCCATGCTTGTTCAATGAACCATAAACAATTAATGAACATGCACCTGTGGAATGGTCGTTAAGACACTAACAGCTTACAGACGGTAGGCGATTAAGGTCATAGTTATGAAAACTTAGGACACTAAAGAGGCCTTTCTACTGACTCTGAAAAACACCAAAAGAAAGATGCCCAGGGTCCCTGCTCATCTGCGTGAACGTGCCTTAGGCATACTGCAAGGAGGCATGAGGACTGCAGATGTGGCCAGGGCAATAAATTGCAATGTCCGTACTGTAAGATGCCTAAGACAGAGCTACAGGCAGACAGGACGGACAGCTGATCGTCCTCGCAGTGGCAGACCACGTGTAACAACACCTGCACAGGATCGGTACATCCGAACATCACACCTGCGGGACAGGTACAGGATGGCAACAACAACTGCCCGAGTTACGCCAAGAACGCACAATCTCTCCATCAGTGCTCAGACTGTCCGCAATAGGCTCAGAGAGGCTGGACTGAGGGCTTGTAGGCCTGTTGTAAGGCAGGTCCTCACCAGACATCACCGGCAACAACGTCGCATATGGGCACAAACCCACCGTCGCTGGACCAGACAGGACTGGCAAAAAGTGCTCTTCACTGACGAGTCGCGGTTTTGTCTCACCAGGGGTGATGGTCGGATTTGCTTTTATCGTCAAAGGAATGAGCGTTACACCGAGGCCTGTACTCTAGAGCGGGATCGATTTGGAGGTGGAGGGTCCGTCATGGTCTGGGGCGGTGTGTCACAGCATCATTGGACTGAGCTTGTTGTCATTGCAGGCAATTTCAACGCAGTGCGTTACAGGGAAGTCATCCTCCTCCCTCATGTGGTACCCTTCCTGCAGGCTCATCCTGACATGACCCTCCAGCATGACAATGCCACCAGCCATACTGCTCGTTCTGTGCGTGATTTCCTGCAAGACAGGAATGTCAGTGTTCTGTCATGGCCAACGAAGAGCCCGGATCTCAATCCCATTGAGCACGTCTGGGACCTGTTGGATCGGAGGGTGAGGGCTAGGGCCATTCCCCCCAGAAATGTCCCAGAACTTGCAGGTGCCTTGGTGGAAGAGTGGGGTAACATCTTACAGCAAGAACTGGGTTGGGTTTGTTTAGCTCAACTTTAGTTTTCCAAAACGGAGAATTTTATGATTTTCTACCAGAGTTTAAAGTCACAGTTGTTGTTTGTAATGTACATTCCATTGAAACTGTAAAATGCACTGAAAAGTAAGAGGGATACATAAACAACCAAACAAACTGCTTCCTGTTTAGGACAAACATTCTTAGTTAAAGAAGCAACATTTTCCTACCTGATTGAACAGCAGCAAAACTGTGTTCGGCAGAAGTCCCATATTCCAAAACCCCTGTGATTTTATAGAGAGCTCTTTCTTTAACGGTTGCGAGAGCATGGGTGAAGGGGGAAGGGAATCAAAACACAGAGCCAAAACTTCACCCCCCATCCTCCCCCTCACCTCAACCCCCACACACCAGCCCAGCTGTCAAAACTCCCAAAACGTCTGCCTCTACTGCTGCCTAATGGCACACAACAAGCCTCTTCATATACCTCCACAATCACTGATAACAATTGACTGACAGGAACTTCATATTATGGCAGTTGACTTGTCATGTTAGAAGCCAAACAAGACTATTGCACTTAGTAATAGTTATTATAGTAGTCGTGTAATATTATTTTAAACATTTTTTCTGTGTATCATATGGCAGAATCCAAGGCTAGGACATCATGAAATCACATCAACACTGGTCCCACCCAAAACAGCAGCCTAACATCACAAAAGCATTCTTTCACTACACGAACACACACACATTTACTTAAACAACCAATCAAACACTGAAGCAAGGACCCAGGCCCAGACACAGAGAGAGATAAAGATGGAGGAGAAAGAGGAGAGAGAGAGAAATGCACACACACACACACACATACACAAAGGCTTCCTGCAGGACTTGTCAGGGGTCCAGATTGAGTGCCAAAGCAGAAGCCAAGAAACCCTGGGAAGAGTTAAGGTAAACTGTCCAGTCCACAGACAGACTGACAGCCTGATGGGAGAAAGCCATCCTTAATCACAACACAAAGCAAAGCACTCAACCTCTACTATCTATGTGTGTGTGTGTGTGTGTGTGTGTGTGTGTGTGTGTGTGTGTGTGTGTGTGTGTGGACAGGGATCCCCTCCACCCTCTGTCCTGTCCCACCACTCGCTCTTCCTCTCTGACCTCCCACCCATAAATCTGCTCTCCGCTCTGCCTCTCTCCCTGCTCTACCTCCCTCCCTCCCGCTCTCTCTCTCACGGCCAAAGACGTGACAAAACGTTCTATAAATTAACCCTAAGTACCTTCTGCTAATCTAATCATTTATGAAACTAAGTGTGCTCCCCACCCCCTCTTTATATTCCTCAGCCCCGTCCTGTCCTCCAGACATTCCTCTGTGTTCCCCCGGTGCAGCCTTTTGGCACCAAACTCAGTTTCCCAGAACCTCGAGCTTTTGCTCTGCCAATCAGAGCAGAGTGTATATGATATGAGAGACCCCAGCCCTAGCTGGCTAGAACTCACTAGGCATGCATCTCAAATGGCACCCTATCCGCTATATAGTGCACTACTATATGGGCCCTGGTCAAAGGTAGTGCACTAAATATGCAATAGGGTATCATTTGGGAGGTGACCATATGAGCCTTTAGTACAGCTACACTAATCTCCCTTTTAAAATAACCTACTAAATCACTAGGTATATGCCCCCAGTGTAAATGTGGCTTACATACTTAATACTCTATAGTCAAATTGGTCAATAATATACTGTATCATACAAATTAGGCAATCCTTTAATAAATGACACCAAATATTGAACTGATAACCCTGGAATAGGTCATCATTCCCATAGTATTATGGTTCTTAACATAGCTATAGAGCTTGGTAGAGAGGAGTAACTCAACACAATCTGGTCTTAACGGCCATGTACTCTTATAATCTTCACCTGACACAGCCACCCCTCGGAGCCTGGTTCCTCTAGGTTTCTTCCTAGGTTCCTGCCTGTCTAGGGAGTTTTTCCAAGCCACTGTGCTTCTGCATCTGCATTGCTTGCTCTTTGAGTAGCCAAGCCTATGGTTCAGGCTAAGAGAATACTCCTCTCCTTTCAGTGGAAAAAGTAGGTCAGGAATGGAGCTTCTCTTTCTGTTCAGTATGTAGAACAGGCCAGGAACTGCACCTGTCCGCCACGCAGGCTATTTTCTGGCATGACAGCATGACGCAGAAAATGAGTGTGTGGTGGGTGTGTGTGCTGTGCGTGTGTCAACATTACAGTATTGTCATACGCAAACTTTATACCATCTTCCACTGCGGCCCCCCACAGCAATCTCTATAACATGTTAACATGTGTGTTTATGAATCTGTGTGTGTGTGTGTTCACCATGACAGTGACATGCCCCAGAACATCTTCCCTTATATACTGAATTAGTGGACTCTGGGGGGCTGGGACGGGGTTTTTGAATTACAATCCTGACTGACGTTCCTTGTTCCTGCAGGAAATTCCTTTTATGAGGCGGCAGAGGGATGCTTTATGAGCGCTCGACAAGTGCACGAGAGATCTCTCCTCTCACGCCATCTCACTCTTCCTTTCTCTCTATCTGTTCCTCTCTCTCGTTGTTCCTCTCTCTCTCTCTCTCTCGGCTGGACGTCCCGTTTTGACGACTGGCCTTGCCTCAACATGCCTAACCCAAGCATGCATGTGAACTAAACTTTCTCCCAAATCAACATTGTCAGTCACACCCAAGTCTTAATAATGACTGTACATAAATGGTAGTGTACATACTTAGGACAAGGAGTTATAACCTTGTCATAACCTATGACTACTAGCGTATGTAGTTTTTCCTGAAAGGGTCATCTGGTGAGGAGGAAAAGCTCCTGGCCCTACCTATAGGACATATTTTCCATGGGTACCGTGTCAGTGTGAGTAACAGAACTAGACTGGCACTGGGCTCTCAGAGCAGGGTAATAAACACCTTGTCAACTGGTCTATCTGCAGCACACAGAGTACAGGTCTGGTACAGTACAACAGTACAGCAGTATAGCTGGGGGAAAGACAGCCAAGCACTTATTTCCCCCCCTTACCTCCACATAACAATTTCCAGAGAGCGCGCAAACTGGGTGCTGCGTGGCACTAGCTTAATAAAAGGAACAGAAAGCAATGCTCTTGGGCCCTTTACGAATCTGTTTCTGCTGACCAGTTAAATTCCTCCTCCTGCCCTACCTCTTTCTCTCTCACTCTCTCCTTTTCTATTTTTCTCTTCCTTTCTTCCTCTATGGTTGTCTCATCTGTAGATCAGCCCCACCAAACATGTGCTCTTTCACTTCCATGTCTCCTGTTGCACACATTGGGCACAAATGTTGTATTCAATAGTTATTTCTGCATTAATAAAGAGGAAAGTGTCAATTTACTCGTAACCAGTTATATATTAATCTGTACTTAAATTAAACTATACTAGAGACTGATGTCATGTATCCCAGGGCAGCAACAGGCTACATGAAAAAACACTAACAGGTGTTGTTATTCAGTTGTCATTGTCTGTATTCCCCAGACTGTGGCTGCGTACAAAAGGTGTGTGTGTGCATGCCTATGTGTGTGTGTGCGTGCACATGCACATGGCGGTTTAGAGCAAGAATGTGCAAGCCCAGGTCTGTGCTCTGCAATGTGATGATGTTATTTGGAAAGACTGAGTCAAACAGCCAAACACATGACAAGAGAATGGATGTGATCAGAGAGAGAATGGATGTTTTACAGAAGATGATGAAAGCGCAGTGCTGATCTAAAAGAAAGCAGCCAATATCCTGTTACTAATTAATGATGTTATTGATGTGACCTCCACTTAATCCACCAGCCGTATTACAGTTGAAGGGAGGGGAAAGGAGAAGACAACCTTCTCCTGGTTGGCCCTGGGCCGAGCCTCAGCCGGAACTATTAAAACGTTTGTTAATTATTACTGAGAGGTAGGCGGGCAGGCAGGCAGTGACATACACAGACGGGAGGATTTAAGGAGAGCGAGAAGAAACAAATTAGACAATTATTCATTCTAGACTAAAAGACGGAGAAGAGAACAGAAGAGAGGACTCTGGCTAAACGCTGTCTGTCTGTCTGTCTGTCTGTAGAGTTCAACACTGAACAACAGCATCAGCCATGATGATCAGAAACATACACAAAGACAGAATGACCGCTAGGACCCCCTCACAACTATGCCACTTGATCTGGCATGAGTGAACCAACACACACACACACACACACACACACATACATACACAAAGACAAGGTTAAATTAACGTGGTGAAAAGTTTTGAACAGCGGGCCATTTTCGCACTCAGTGACCCACACAGAGAAATAGTACATTTAAATAAAGAGAGATCTGGTCGATCAAAATGTCAAACTAAGCTTACCGAAGTAGTCTGCCTTTGGCTGGGCGTCCATTTCCTTCTCTAGACGCTTGGTCAGGGCTTCTAATTTGATCTCAGCGGCAGACGGCCCCTGCTCCGGTTGGACATGGAGAGTCTGGCAGGGCAGTTTGAGAGCTCTGGGGGGGCTGGGGGCTTCATACTGGGACTGGGGCCGGAGCTGGCAGGCCTCACCACCAGAGGACAGCTGGCTGTCTAGGGCAGAGGGCACATCCACCCCCATGGCCACTTGCCTGCCCTGGGCCTGGCCTACACCTTGACCCTGGCCAAAGCTTCTAGAGACACTGGTTCCAGAGGGAGAGGCAGAGGCAGGAAGGTAAGCCCCAGCGGTGGCTTTGGGCTGGGCTGGGGATGGGACAGCCACAGGACTCTGAGAGAGCCCGTTCTGGCATAGATTTCCCTGGTTGGTGGTTGGTCTTGGGGCCATGGAGTGTGCTGCAGAGTAAGGGCCTGTTGGCGGTGTAACATGGGCAGGTTGGGGAGACAGCTGCTGGTACAGGTCAGCTCCGCCTGTGAAGGCACTCAGAGGGAGCGGTGCTATCAGGTCTGGGTTCCCCAAGCTCCGCATCCAGTCTGCTGCAGCCCCAGCATCAGCCACCGTGGGGGGACTCTGCCGCACTAGTGGGGTGGCAGCCTTGCTCTGGTGCAGTCTAGTGGGGCTTGGAGATGGTAGGCTGTCGGAGAAGGAGGGAGATGGTGAGTGGTGTTGGGGCTGCTGAGATGAGCTGCACATAAGGCCTGATGATCCACCAGGGCTGGAGGATCCTGGGGAGGCCTGGCCACCCCGGGACGAGTAGGAGGCCCAAGTGCCCGAGGGACTGGCAGGGTGACCAGAGCCATGTGTGTGTGCGTTCCCAGGGCTCAAGGCGTGGTGGTAAGAATGCGGCTCAAAACGCTCCTTGTTATCGTAATTGTTTCCGTAGCCATATGCCTGTTGACTGGGTGAATGGTGTTTCAGAGCGTCACAGGGCGCGTACTGACTCGCGCCACTGACGGTGCCTGGCATAGGGCCAGAGAGTATGGGAGGCTTGGCAGCAGCTTCTCCTGCCTGTCTGTAGCTATTGATAGGCGGCCTGTCTTTGGTGTAAAAGGTGCTGTCTGTCGCTCTGTTGTGACCCCCGTTCATTCTCACTGCCAAATTGTTTTTGGCAATTTCCTCTTGCTGTTTCTGTATGTGGATTTTTGTCATTTTGGAGGCAAAAACTCTCCTGGTTTCTTCAAAGTCGGAGTTGTTCCCTGCATCCCTCTTCATTCGGAACAACCCGTCCCTAGATGCCTCATACATATTGAGGTCTTCTAAAAACTTACTTGCCTCAAGATCCAAATCGTCGTATTTATCCATGTTGAAGTGAATTACAAAATGTGTATAAACTATGATCTGATTCAAGGTTCAAGCCACAACTTTCACAAAAAAACGATGTGTCAAAAAAAAAAAACGTAGGCTAGCCAATTAAAACAACGTTAAACACAATAAACAACTGAAACGAAAGGATTAAAATCCAAACCCTCCTCACTCCCAAAGTAAAAGATTACCACAGATTTTACTGTACAGTCCAGGCAGCGGAGAGAGAACACTGTCACGGGGTATTCTGACGTGGAGATCCCGAACCGAAGTTGAAGTACAGTTTCTCCCGTAATGTGTCAGCTATCCCGCGGAAGCAATTATGCCTAGGCCTACTCCAGAATGGATAAAGATCCGAATAATAGCGAGAAGAAGCTCCGTCCTCTCCTCGGTGGGCCAGTTGACTGCTCGCAACAGGATGCTGTCTGGTTATAAAGTCAGATCAGACAGCCTACGACCCCAGCCTGCGCCCCCTTTCCGAACCTCACTGTGGCTCTCAGCACCGAAGCCTCCATTCAAAAACGTTGTTTGCAACTTTGTAGCATGAGTTCCAAACTTTTCCCGCAAGTTGCTGAACAAATTCCAGCGTGGTCCTCTCACAACGCTAACTTAGTTCGACTATAATTAAACGGTTATTACAAGTGCGTAGGCAAAACATACTGAACGAAAGCAAACCTCTTGATCCGAGTATGGATAGTGTGGAGTCGACCGTGGGACTGGGTAGCGCTGTTTGTTTTTAAAGGCGCAGTGTTCACTTCATTCTGGGGTAGATTTTAAGTCATGATATATGGACCCCCAGATAACTCAAGGCACATAGCATAACAAACATTTACCTTTAGGCTATGCTCTTTTTATCACACATTGTTTATTGATATACTTACTTTATACCCACAATCTATTTGGCTACCTTGTTGGTGCTGGACAAACTGAATTAAAGTTAATTATGAATCAACAGTGTAATTACTAAGGAATCACGTACATTTACATGTACATTTTCGTCATTTAGCAGACGCTCTTACCTTATCACCTTATGATAGCCAGTGGGACAACCACTTTACAATATATCATTTTTTTTGGAGGGGGGGGGGGGGGGGGGGGGGGGGGGGGGTGTATAAGGATTACTTTTATCCTATCCCAGGTATTCCTTAAAGAGGTGGGGTTTCAAGTGTCTCCGGAAGGTGGTGAGTGACTCCGCTGTCCTGGCGTGGTGAGGGAGCTTGTTCCACCATTCGGGTGCCAGAGCAGCGAACAGTTTTGACTGGGCTGAGCGGGAACTGTGCTTCCGCAGAGGTAGGGGGTTCAGCAGGCCAGAGGTGGATGAACGCAATGCCCTCGTTTGGGTGTAGGGACTGATCAGAGCCTGAAGGTACGGAGGTGCCGTTCCCCTCACAGCTCCGTAGGCAAGCACCATGGTCTTGTAGCAGATGCAGGCTTCAACTGGAAGCCAGTGGAGTGTGCGGAGGAGCGGGGTGACGTGAGAGAACTTGGGATGGTTGAACACCAGACGGGCTGCAGCGTTCTGGATGAGTTGTAGGGGTTTAATGGCACAGGCAGGGAGCCCAGCCAACAGCGAGTTGCAGTAATCCAGACGGGAGATGACAAGTGCCTGGATTAGGACCTGTGCCGCTTCCTGTGTAAGGTAGGGTCGTACTCTGCGAATGTTGTAGAGCATGAACCTACAGGATCGGGTCACCGCTTTGATGTTAGCGGAGAACGACAGGGTGTTGTCCAGGGTTACGCCAAGGTTCTTTGCACTCTGGGAGGAGGACACAACGGAGTTGTCAACCATGATGGCGAGATCATGGAGCGGGCAGTCCTTCCCCGGGAGGAAGAGCAGCTCCGTCTTGCCGAGGTTCAGCTTGAGGTGGTGATCCGTCATCCACACTGATATGTCTGCCAGACATGCAGAGATGCGATTCGCCACCTGGTTATCAGAAGGGGGAAAGGAGAAGATTAATTGTGTGTCGTCTGCGTAGCAATGATAGGAGAGACCATGTGAGGATATGACAGAACCAAGTGACTTGGTGTATAGAGAGAATAGGAGAGGGCCTAGAATTGAGCCCTGGGGGACACCAGTGGTGAGAGCACGTGGTGCGCAGACAGATTCTCGCCACGCCACCTGGTAGGAGCGACCTGTGAGGTAGGACACAATCCAAGAGTGAGCCGCGCCGGAAATGCCCAACTCAGAGAGGGTGGAGAGGAGGATCTGATGGTTCACAATATCAAAGGCAGCAGATAGGTCTAGAAGGATGAGAGCAGCGGATAGAGAGTTAGCTTTAGCAGTGCGGAGAGCCTCCGTGACACAGAGAAGAGCAGTCTCAGTTGAATGACCAGTCTTGAAACCTGACTGGTTTGGATCAAGAAGGTCATTCTGAGAGAGATAGCAAGAGAGTTGGCTAAAGACGGCACGCTCAAGAGTTTTGGAGAGAAAAGAAAGAAGGGATACTGGTCTGTAGTTGTTGACATTGGAGGGATCGAGCGTAGGGCTACAAAGTGGGATTTGCAGTCTAAATTGTTCCCTATAAAAAAAATGGGGGAGGAGAGGGAGGGCAGGGGTCGTGCTAAGATCATAGACTGTATGAACCTGATCTATAACCTGGCCTATCAATGGATTCCCATAAGAAATGCACAGTGGTGCTTTGTGGCTGGGAAGTACTGTTGTACTAACTGTGTGTGGAAAAGGAGGGGGGGGGGGGGGGGTCTTTCTCAAACTGACAAGTTGGGACACATCTGTATTTTTCTGTGTCCTTGGTGGGGACTTTAAGTACTGTGTATAAATCCCATTGTCTGTGGAGCCGAGCTGTATACATAGAAGCATGGAGACTGTGAGAGGCCCTATAGACTGGTGGCTGGCTATAAACATAATGTTTATAAGGCACAGTCAGTAACCATCTGCACATTAAGGAAACGGACACCACAAACAGCCATCCTCAAAAAGGAGCTTAGTACACTTGTTTATAACATTCTCACGCAAATACCCACCAACAACAGGCAGGCACTACTTTGAGCTAATTAAGATTGTGATGGAAATCTTGTTGGAGAAAATCATGTGGTTTTACTACTCGGATTAATGAGCTCTAACAATTAGAATATGGATATTTATTAAGGCAGAGCTCTCCCTTCCCAGCAAATGGTACAGTTTCTGGCAACATCCAGTAGCGGTGTGTGGGTAAAATCACTGGGAAGCCAAGCCAGAAGAAAAAGCCATATTACAACCTATGTGTTGTGATAATTGGTTGTTTGATCTATAACCTGTTAGTTCATATGCCTTGACACCGTGATATACAGTGGGGAAAAAAAGTATTTAGTCAGTCACCAATTGTGCAAGTTCTCCCACTTAAAAAGATGAGAGAGGCCTGTAATTTTCATCATAGGTACACGTCAACTATGACAGACAAAATGAGAATTTTTTTTCCAGAAAATCACATTGTAGGATTTTTTATGAATTTATTTGCAAAATATGGTGGAAAATAAGTATTTGGTCAATAACAAAAGTTTCTCAATACTTTGTTATACACCCTTTGTTGGCAATGACACAGGTCAAAGTTTTCTGTAAGTCTTCATAAGGTTTTCACACACTGTTGCTGGTATTTTGGCCCATTCCTCCATGCAGATCTCCTCTAGAGCAGTGATGTTTTGGGGCTGTCGCTGGGCAACACGGACTTTCAACTCCCTCCAAAAATGTTCTATGGGGTTGAGATCTGGAGACTGGCTAGGCCACTCCAGGACCTTGAAATGCTTCTTACGAAGCCACTCCTTCGTTGCCCGGGCGGTGTGTTTGGGATCATTGTCATGCTGAAAGACCCAGCCACATTTCATCTTCAATGCCCTTGCTGATGGAAGGAGGTTTTCACTCAAAATCTCACGATACATGGCCCCATTCATTCTTTCCTTAACATGGATCAGTCGTCCTGGTCCCTTTGCAGAAAAACAGCCCCAAAGCATGATGTTTCCACCCCCATGCTTCACAGTAGGTATGGTGTTCTTTGGATGCAACTCAGCATTCTTTGTCCTCCAAACACAACGAGTTGAGTTTTTACCAAAAAGTTCTATTTTGGTTTCATCTGACCATATGACATTCTCCCAATCCTCTTCTGGATCATCCAAATGCACTCTAGCAAACTTCAGACGGGCCTGGACATGTACTGGCTTAAGCAGGGGGACACGTCTCGCACTGCAGGATTTGAGTCCCTGGCGGCGTAGTGTGTTACTGATGGTAGGCTTTGTTACTTTGGTCCCAGCTCTCTGCAGGTCATTCACTAGGTCCCCCCGTGTGGTTCTGGGATTTTTGCTCACCGTTCTTGTGATCATTTTGACCCCACGGGGTGAGATCTTGCGTGGAGCCCCAGATCGAGGGAGATTATCAGTGGTCTTGTATGTCTTCCATTTCCTAATAATTGCTCCCACAGTTGATTTATTCAAACCAAGCTGCTTACCTATTGCAGATTCAGTCTTCCCAGCCTGGTGCAGGTCTACAATTTTGTTTCTGGTGTCCTTTGACAGCTCTTTGGTCTTGGCCATAGTGGAGTTTGGAGTGTGACTGTTTGAGGTTGTGGACAGGTGTCTTTTATACTGATAACAAGTTCAAACAGGTGCCATTAATACAGGTAACGAGTGGAGGACAGAGGAGCCTCTTAAAGAAGAAGTTACAGGTCTGTGAGAGCCAGAAATCTTGCTTGTTTGTAGGTGACCAAATACTTATTTTCCACCATCATTTGCAAATAAATTCATTAAAAATCCTACAATGTGATTTTCTGGATTTTTTTCTTCTCAATTTGTCTGTCATAGTTGACGTGTACCTATGATAAAAATTACAGGCCTCTCTCATCTTTTTAAGTGGGAGAACTTGCACAATTGGTGGCTGACTAAATACTTTTTTCCCCCACTGTATACGCCTAAGGCCGAGACAATAAGAAGACACAATGGCAGAATAAATTCAACAATGCATTTGTTTCATCACAGAACTGGAGAGCAACCTCTGTCCGGTGAAGTCCACAAAGCATATTGCGTGTAACAAACAGTTACATGACCTACAGCATGGCTGCACAACCCTCTTCCTGGAGGTCTACTGTCCTGTAGGTTTTCAGTCCAACCCTAATTTAGCATATCTGATTCAGCTAGTTAAGGTCTTGTTGAGCAGCTAATAAGTACAATCAGGTGTGTTAAATTAGGGTTGGACTGAAAACCCACCAGACGGTAGATCTCCAGGAAGAGGGTTGGGCAGCCCTGACCTACAGCATGGTCAAGCAAATCAATGTTTCCAACATTTTCGGACTACTAAACAACTATTGATTTAGAACCACAGAGAGTTACCGCAAGTCCCAAAGAAAACAGGAGCTGCCGCCATTATTCCAGCACCATTTCAACAACATCAAATCACCTATGCTTAGTCTAATACAGTGACATGTAAAAGATACCAAAAACAATTTAGTCCAATTAATGTAAGCTATATATGATTTGGCTGTCCATGGTTCTGATTTATTTGTGTGTGTGTGTGTGTGTGTGTGTGCGTGCATTCTTGCAAGTAGAAAAAACATGTTGTCTCACCCTACTTGTAGAGAAACGCCAATGCCATCCTCCTCTCTTTCATGTTGACAAAACGGTCTATGACTTTGTCATACAGTACACAGTTTTAGTTTTTGTTGTCCTTGGCTACCTGGCTAAAATGCTTGCTCGCTAGCCTAACTTCCTTTCATGGAGAATGATGAGCCAGCTAGCTA